TTTTATTTTTTTTTTATTTTTTAATTATTTTTTTTAAATTATTTTTTAATAAAATAAAATTTAAATTTTTTTATTTTTTTTTTTTTATATTACAAACTATTTTTTTTAACATTCTTATTACATTCAGTTTAAAAACAACAATTAAATGGTTTTATATTTTTAAAATATTTCTTTTTTTTTAATTTCTACGTATTTCTTCTTTTATTCACCGACCACCATTATAATGATAAAGATAAATAAAAATCTAATTACAACAACCTTATATAAAAATTTATGTATAAATAATTATAAACAATGTTTTTATAGTACATTTAATAATATTTACAATACTACTAGTTATAATAAAAAAACCAATGATAATAATAAAATAATCAATAATTGTTATAAAAAAAGATTTTATTTATCACCACCTCCACCATTATTCAAAAATGTCAGTAATATAGAAACATCAAGTGAACCAATTGATAGTTCGGTTAATAAAGATGATTTAGAAATTAAAGATCCTTCAATTATTTTTAATACTGTTTGGAATAAAATGGAACAAAAATATGGAAAAGAGAATATGAAATTTCCACAAGAAATTATTTTAGTTGCTGGTGCACCAGGTTCAGGTAAAGGTACCAACACTCCATTTATATGTTCAGTAAGAGGCATCAGTTCAACACCAGTTGTAATGTCATCATTATTAAATAATACAGGTAATGTAAAATAATAATACAATCAATCAATCAATCAATCAATCAATCAATCAATCAATTTTTATGATTATAATTTATTAATAAAATTATTATCATTATAATAGAGGCAAAAGCAATAAAATCAACAGGTGGTATGGTTAGTGATTCGTTTGTATTTCAAACCATTTTAGAAGAATTAAGAAAACCAGAATACAGATCAGGTGTTGTTGTTGATGGGTTTCCAAGAACCACAATTCAAGTAGAGTTGGCCAATTCGTTATATGAAAAAATGAAAGAGATGAGAAAGGCATTTTTTAATACACCAATAGCACATGGCTTTCCAAGACCTATTTTCAGAGTAACAGTATTGTTTGTTGAAGAAAAAGAATCAATTGATAGACAATTGAGAAGAGGAGAAATCACAAGAGACACCAATAAGAAATTAAAAGAGCAAGGATTACCATTGTTGGAAGAAAGAGATACAGATTTATCAGAAGAAGCGGCAAGAAAGAGATATAAAATCTTTAGAGATCATTATTCAACTCTTCAAACATTGAAAAAACATTTTCCATTCTCAATTATCGATGCATCAAAAACATTGGATAAGGTTCAACAGGCCATTCTCAAAGAGTTCAAATATCAATCCTCATTGGAACTCACTCAAGAAACTTATGATTTAATTCAACGTATACCATTAGTGACTGAACTAACTCAACATGCCAGAGTAGATTTAATCCAACGTTTAGATAACTATCAAAATAGACACACAGATTTATTTACTTCGGTAGTTCATGTAGTAGAAAAAGAATTTATTCCAACTATTCGTCGTCAAGCTATTGCCGGTAGTGCCTTAATTAGAGTAAATAATAGTATTTTCTCTTCACCATTAGCAATAGATATGGCATTGGACGTTTTATCCGAACGTGGTTTCCGTGCTACTATCGATATTCGTACAACCTATATTCCAATACGTATTGACCCTACAACTTATGAAATTACAAATTTATCTCAAACTGAATATCAATTTAAAGTAGATTTCGAGAAACCTGTAATAAGAGATTAATTAAAAATGTTATAATAATATTAAAATAAATAATAATATTTTTAAATAAATTATAAAAGAAAGAATTAAATATATCATATATTTATTTGTTTATTTATTTATTTCTTGACAATTGTGGGGGAGGCGCTTTTTTTTTTTTTTTTTTAAAAAAAAATTTTTATTTTTTTTAAATTTTTTTTTTTAAAAATTTTCATTATATTTAATTTAATAACAACAGCATTAATAACTAAATCTATTTAACTATAATAAAATTATTTATTTATTTATCTATTTATTTATTTATATTTTATAATAATTAAAGTCAATAGTATATATATTTTTCATTTGTTTCATTGTATATGTCGATTAAAAATTAAAATTTTACAATTGTACTTTTTTTTTTTTTTATAAAATGGATAGCAGCGATAATGATGTTGAAATGAAAGATATTGATGTAGATTCAACTAAAACAACACCAACATCAACACCAACATCAGCAACAACATCAACTGGTAAAACACCAAAAACACCAACTAAAAGAAAAAAGTTAACAGAAGAAGAAAAAAAGAAAAAAGAAGATGACAAAAAGAGATTATTAGAGGAGAGAGAAGCAGAAAAGAAAAAGCGTGAGGATGATAAAAAGAAACGTGAAGAAGAAAAGAAAAAGAAAGAGGAGGAAAAAGAAACAGAGAAAAAGAAACGTGAAGAGGAAGCTGAAAAAAGAAAAGAGGAAAAGAGAAAGAAGGAGGAAGAGAGATTAAAGGAAAAAAAGAAACGTGAAGAGGAAGCTGAAAGAAAAAAAGAGGAGATTGAAAAGAAAAGATTAGAGCAAGAAAAGGCCAAAGAAGAAGAGTTGAAAAAGCAACCAAAACTTACCCAATTCTTTACACCAATTCAACAGCCAGTAAGAATTAAAGTAAATTCTAATCAATTTATACAACCCATTGAATTACCACCACATACCGAACTTTACCAATATCAAGTACCATCATATGCAAGATCTATAGAAAGTTTTAAAGAGGCAATCGGGTCACAATCGTACAGCAATTTACCAAGAGATATTTCAAGTTCCAATCAAGAAAAGAAGAGATATTTTTCAAATATCGAAAGAGTGAATCCAGCTAAGAAAGGTCAAAGAAATATTAAATTTAAAATGCCAATTAAATCATTACCAGGTGCTATTATGCATCATGACCTAATATCAAAGCTTAGCGTATTGAAACTCTTAAAATTCCACGACAATTACAGACCATCCTATTATGGTACATTTTCAAAGAGAAGTAAATCTATTACTGCCAAGAACCCAATTAAGAAAGATGAAACTATCGATTACGATTACGACAGTGACGACGAATGGGATGAAGAAAAAGATTTAGAGGGTGATGTAGAAAAAATCTCGTCAGATAATGAAAAAGAAGAAGAGGAAGAAGAAATTGAAGACGAAGAGGATCAAGCATGGATTGAAAAAAATGATCAAAATGAAGAAGAGGAGGATGATTCAATTCATACCAAAAAGAAAAAGAGACGTTTAGAAGAAAAAAAACCAATAATATTGGAACCATATTTTACAAAATATCCATTATCAATTTTAAAAGATCAAGAAAATAATATGGATACAACAATAACAACCACAACAACCACAACAGCACCATCAAATAATATTGATTTAGAATTTTTAAAAATATTTACAGTTCAACCTTTAGAGCCAACACCAATTAAATTAGAACCAATAATAATAGAAAAACCAACATCATCAATCAAAGAAGATTTTCCAATTAAAGCACTACCAACTTTATTATATGTATGTTTTTTAAATCATGATATTGTTTTATTATTATATGTATTAATATATTTCACTCTTTTTAATTTAGATTATAAAAAATAATAAATTACCATTTAAGAAATTAGTTCAAATTTTTACAAAGAATTTCCCACATATAAATCAACGACAGATCAAAGGTAAATTAAACGAACATTGTATTTATAGTCACAGAGCATGGTCAATTAAACCAGAAAGTGAAGATATAGTAAATCACCCCATAGATCCACAATATCCAATTCCTGACATCCCAAAACCAACTAAAGAAACTGAAATTGAAAATGATGAGGAAGAAAATAATGAAAATATAAATAATAGTAATAGTACAACTATAAATACACCCTCATTACATAATAATAATAGTAGTGGTAACAACAATAATAGTAGTAATATCAATAGCAATAGTTTAAATAAATCACCATCAAAATCACCCACCAAACCTACAAAAGCTTCAAAAAAGAAACAGCAGCCGGTTGCAGTTCAAACAAATTCTTTATTAAATTATTTTTCAAAAGTGGAATCATCCCCAGTTGTTACTAAAAGTGAACAACCAAATTCATTAACACCAGCAAAAACTAATGCGGACTCAAATGAAACTTCAACAGCAACAGCAACAACAACAAATTCAACTTTATAAGAAGGAGATTGAATTCATTAATTTTATTAATAATTATAATAAAAAAAAAAAAAAAAAAAAAAAAAAAAAAAAACCCAAAACAATTTATTTTCATATAATCTAAACATTTATTTTTCTCTTTATTTTTCTCTTTACTTTTCTTTATTTTTGAATTTTTTTTTCTTTCTTTGTTTAAAACATTTAAAGTTTAGGGAAAGATAATTGTTATAATCTATTAAATAGATATATATTATATTTCTTTTTTATAATAATTTCATTTTTTAAAATTAATTTTTTTTTCATTTCCACATTTTTATATTATGTTTATATTTCCATTTTTTGATTTATTGTTAGTATTTATTGTCATAGCATCTTTTGTTTTAATAACTTTAGTTAATTTATAAATTAAAAAATAAAAAAAAATAAAAAAAATAAAAAAAAAATGTTAAAAAAGATTTTTATAATTTTTATATTTTTACTTTCTCTAAATGGTTGCTTTGCAAACTCAGCGAATAGATACCGTGATTATCTAAGTTTTAATGGGATGAAAACAGAGTTTAGGGCTATAAACAACTCTGGAATTGTAACAATTACTGTTGAAGCAATTGGTTTAATAGACTTTAATAGAAGTGTAAGCTCCAAGTTCCCCATTAAAGAATTAATCCCCAATACCCATATTGCAACTGTTATAACTGGTACATGTAATGGCTCAAGCTATCCACTTAGAGTAGCATTTTTTGAAAAGATGATTTTTATTCAATCATTAGGTAACTATTAAATAACTTTTTAAATAAATTATTGTTATAATTATTATTAATAAAATTTATTATTGTAATGAAAATTAAATTTATTTAATAATAATAGAACCCACTGTTAATGATTGCTCTGCGATTGCTGTAGATCCATTCACAATAGAATGGGTTTCTTCATGGAATTAATTCTAGATTAAAATTTTATTATTACAATAAAATTTACAAAATTGTTTTTTTTATAGTCACACAACATACTCATATTATCCAAGTTATTTTAGATTTAATAAAGATTTTCTAAATTAAGGTCATATTAATATATGATCCAATAATATAAACGTTTAAATTTATTGTGTCATTTATTATTGCAATTTTTTAAAAAAATATAAAAATTAAAATTTCCCACACACCCACACACAAACACTAATATATCAAATAACAACCACTATATCACTATACTTAGCACCATTTTTATTATTGTTTTAAAATATGGATTTTTTTTAAATCTATAAAAAATATTTATAAAATATTAGTAAAAACTTTATCACTATTATTAATATTTTTAATTATTATCATACTAATTTAAATTTTAATTTAATTAAAAATAAAAGAGAAAAGAAAATTAAAAAAAAAAAAAAGAGTATAAATTAAAATAAATTTTACATTTTTAATTCATTAATTCAACAAACAATTAATTAAATAAATAAATTAATAAAAAGTTTAAAAAATGAAATACTTAGTTCTCTTCTTATTTGCTTTATTAGCAGTTGCTAATGTCTCAGCTTACCAATGTGGTAGATATCAATGTGCTCCAGGTATGTGTTTAATTTTATTTTCTATTTTTTATAAAAAAATTAAATAATAATTAACACCTTTATTATAAAAATACAAATAGGTCACTCATGTATCTGTGATGCCGGTGTTTTCAGATGTGTTTACAGATGTGAAGAATTAACTATCATTCAAACTGTTACCAATCATTGGGTTGACGGTGAACAACACCCATCAGTTCAAGTATCTGTTGAAATTATTAACCACACTAGCCGTACTGTTAAAGATATAATCATTGCCACTGATGTTAGTTTAAATTCAAATCAAATGTGGGGTGTTGAAAAATGTGAATTAATTGAAGGTCTTACATTAATTGACTTACCATCATATGTTGAAATTGCCCCAGGTAAATCACACACCTTCGGCTACATTGCCAAAGGTAACACTAGTGCCCACTTATGGCCACAACGTGTTTACATCATGTAAATTGATAGTTTACATTTTTAAAATATAAAAAAAAAAAAAAAAATTTTAAATAAAGTCAAATTCCTTTTTTATATATAAGATTTTAAAATTAAATATAAATTTCTTTTTTTTTTTACAAAATAAATCTTTTCAATAACCTTCACCAAACCATTGAGTCATGTCTTCTTCTCAAAGAATGGAATAGTGTATGATGATTTTAACAAAAAAAGATGAAAGAGTCCACAACAAATAATAATTTTTCTTTAAATATAACCTTTATATTTTCAAATTTATTTAACAATAATATTTTATAATTTCTTATTATAATCTTTTTTATTTTTTTTATCTTTTTTTATTTTACATTTGCTATTTTAATCTTTTTTAAAAAAAAAATTAGTTTAAGGATAAAATTTTCCAGATGATCAAAAAATAAACAATAACCATAATTTTTAATCACTGCATGAGAAAAATAAAAGAAAAAGAAAAATAAATAAAATAAAATGACAGTATTTTTTAAAAAATACGTTATTTTTAATGTATATTTACCGTTTAATTGATAAAAAAAAGGATTTACCATAACTAATAGTATTGAACATAATAGGCGTATACAATTCGGATAATTCTGGATTGTTGATTTTGTGGATTTTGTAAAATTTGTTGAATATGGTGTCTATCGATTGGAAAAGCAAAATTGATTGGTGCAGTTTGATGTGGGAAGGTGTTGATGTTTCTATTGCTTCTGATTAAACTATTGAAGTTGTTATTATTGTTGTTATTATTGTTGGTTAAGAATTTAATTAATCTTGAATCAAAATAACCAAATAAAAAACTGATGATAACAATTAAAATGGTATAAAAAATTATTTCAAGATCCATTTTATTTTAAATTATGATTATTAATTAAAGAGGATTGGTAAATTATTAATATAAAAAGCTATTTAAGTTATTAAATATTATTGTATTGATTGATATAATAAATAAATAAATGTAAATATTTATTTGTATGTAGATAAAATAATAAAGAAAAAAAAAAAAAATTTCTTTGGCAATTAAAATTAAAAAAAAAATTATAAATTTAAAAACTTTAAATTAAAAAAAAAAAAAATTTTAAAATTATTATAAAAAATAAATAGGGTGTGGCACACAATTCATAGTGGTTGTTAAAATTTTTTTAAAAAATTAAACAGATGATTTCTTCCATAGGAAAAAGTAAATCCAATTGTGTATTGTAGAAATTTATAAAAAGTAGTTTTTTTTAAATTTTTTTTTTTTTTTTTTTTTTTATAAATAAAAAATTAAAATTAATTTTTAAAAATAAAAAGATGATTTACTAAAAATTAAATATATTAAAACATTATGAAATTTGAACAACATACATATATCAGATACTAATGTCAGTATATTTTTTCTTTTTTTCTTTTTTAATTTAAAGTTTTTTATATTTTTTTTTTTTTAATTTTAATTACCAAATAAATTTTTTTATTTTTTTTCTTTAATTTATGTAAATTTTTTTAATTTAATACCGAGAAGTTTTAATTTAAGTCTATTCTTTTTATATAAAATAGCTATAGCTACACTCGATGCAACAACAAAAACACAGGGTACAACAACTGCTACGGGAATTATCCAGTTGTTTTTATCTTTTATACAGTCCGATTTGTAATCTGATGTTACCAATACACTGAAATCTGTATGAATAATTAAACTATTGTTAATATTGCAATTTTTTTTAAAATTTAAATGTTTTTAAAATAATTACCAGGATCAATAAAACAAGAATATTCACAATGGGGTAAATTTAGTGATAAAATAATACCGTTTTCGAGTGTATTATTATTGGTTGTAATAGTGTTAATTGAACTTGATAAGAATGTTTCCCTTCCATCTGATATTACTTTATTGATAAATCTACCTATTAATTGATGTGAATTTTTGAATACTTTAATATAGTTAACATCTCTTTGATTATTTGCATTTGATGAATCGATTACTGTTTCTTTTTCATTACATTTATTATTATTGTTACCATTGTCTTTGTCAGACACTCTCGATACGAATGACAATGTAAGTGTATTTAACGAGTTTTGATATTGATAATTTGAAATATTAACTGATATTTTGAGTGATTCTTTTGGAACAATATAAGTTGTACTTCCGAATTGAAATTCTTTTTCTTTGGTAACTTCTTCAATTGTATAGATTATTTTTGATAAATTGTTTATATTTTGTTCAAAAGTATAAATATTATTTTGCTTATTTGTAACAATCCAATTATTTTGTAATGTATGATTAGCAACAACAGTACCATCGATTGAAATTTCATTTAATTCAATAACTGATATGTTAAAAGCTGTTTGTTCGCTGTATATTTGTGCACCACCATAATTTGTATCTACTTTTGTTTCAACAGGTGGAATTGTTGATTCTAATTCTATTTTAGTTGAACAATCAAAACCAATATAATCTTTTTGGCAAAAACATGAACCAGTATTTGTATTACATTGACCATTGGAAGATGATGTACAATTACTTGGACATTCTTTTATTGTATTGAAATAATTGAAAATACCAACACCAGTGAAATAAACATCGCTATGATTTGATAATGTAACAATAACATTATGGGTACCTGTACCTGGACCTAATAAACATTGAATTTCTGAATTTGATTTTTGTTTAACTTGACAACTATATATTCCAATTTTAACAATATATTCTAATGTTGTTTCAGGAAATAAACCGTAAAGTGTTACATTTCCACCATTAATTGAACATGGTGATACTGATGTAACATAATGAGATAGAACTGAACAATCTGATGATGAATATTTTGTTGGACATTTACATTTATTATTGGGTCCAATACAAACACCACCATTTAAACAATCGGGTATACATATATAATTAGAACAATCTTCTCCATCTCTAGTAGGAATACAATCACAAATACCAGTTTCTTGATTACATGTACCTTGATTACTGCAATTATTTGGACATTGTTTTATCTCTACACATATACCTACGCTATTATCACAATATGAATTGGAACCACATACAGCACATATCTTATTTTCATAATTCATATTTATCATATATTGTGCTAATAGTGGTGGATAAATATTACCAGGACTATTATTATCAATACTAATGGTTGTTAAAACATTGGTTTGGGTAAAATCGTATCCATTTGGAGTTGAGCATGTTATAATATAAAATGTTGAAGCAACAACTTGACAATCAAAACTACCTAATTTAACTTTAATTGATGTTATATTATAACTAAAATATAAACCTTTAAAAACTATTTGTTTTGTTATTCCATTTGGAATAATATTTGTTACATTTGGATTTGTAGGAAATGTTGAAAGTGTAAAGGTTTGGGTTGGTATGGTTGCACTTGCATTTGCATTAAAGGTCACATCAAACATTAATGGTAAATCTTTTTTAAGTATATATGTTGATTCAAATTTTTGAAGAGGTATAACTGGACTCATTACTATACTTGATAATTGTCCAGAAAGCACCATATCTGTTGATTTTTTACCTATATCTTGACCGTAAATATATAAATCTAGTGAAATTTGTTAATATTAGTATGTTTTTTATTAAAAAAATTTATAAAAATATTATTTACATTTATTGGTTTCATTGTACCATGCATTGGGTAAAATTGAAGTACAGAATGGAATTGGGGGAAAATTTGAAAATTGATTATTTATAAACATGGAATTGAAAGCAACATCATTAATAGTTTTAAAACAATAAAAACATGATGGAATTTTTCCACTTAGATTATTATCATTGACCATTATAGATATTGAACAAAAACTTTCATCAATGGAACCTATTATCTTTGAGAATCTCAATTCAAGACTCTTTAAATTTTTAAAATCTGTTGATTTCCAAGATGAAATGTCAAAGTTCATTTCCAGGTACCAAAAACCTACACGTTTTAGATTGGGTGAATTGATAATAAAATTTTTTGGGTCATTAATTTTTGATGGATTAATTGCCCTATCAGAAATTGTAAAACTTTCAATAGTTGGATGAGGAATTAATGGAAGTTCATTATTGACACTAAAGCTCCCAGAAACCTCAATATTCAGGTTTTTTAATTTTTGTAAATTTGATAAATCTATCATTGACTGTGTAATATAAGCACCCTTAATAGTTCTATAATAATATAAAAGAAAGTAAGAAAACTAATAATCAAAAAGATAAATAAAAAGCTATACAAACAATGTCTCAATATTATTACCCAGCGGAATTGAAGAGAATGGTGGAAAAGTAACATAAGCATAAGGATAAACATACATGTATATTGTTCTTATGTTACCACATTTTATTATATTTGAGTAATCAAAAGGGTCTTGATATGAAATAATACTTAAATCGTTAAGATTTTTAAAATTACTCATATCTGGGAGATTTTTTGAATAATCCATATAAAAATATTCTAAAATAGTATTATCTGTACCAACAATATCATTATTTAAGGTTATTAAACTTGTTTGCACTGTTGTAAGGAAATCTATTTGTCTAAAAAACGTAAAAAAATTATAATTAAAACTTGGGTTATTATTAATAACATTGATATTAAAATATTGTTACATTTTTTTTAATGTTTGAATTTTTGAAAAATCCAATTGGAAAATCAAGCTTACTTGTACTTGAAAAAAATAAATTGTTTCTAAAGAAGATGCAACTGATTGTGAAAATACAGTATTTAGTGATGAACCCAAACAACTTTGACATATAATTGTTTTAAGATTAGGATATGGATATGATAAGAATGATGATTGAATATAACCATTATAAATCTCAAAACTATTTAAATGACTTAAACAACTTATTGTTGTTGCATCTATCAAAGTGGTTGAAACCTGTTTTACAGATCTAATTTCAATTTTTTTTTTTTTTGTAATAAAAATATTAAATTTATTGTTTTAAGATATTTATTTATTAATTATTTAATTTTACATACATTTTATATACTATCAAATCGGTATTATCAGTGTTAAGTTTACACTCAATACCTGAAAAAGTACAATAGTCTGTTGGTTTTACTACACTTAATTTACTAAAAAAATTATTTAAACAAGTAACTAAATTTTAAACGAAATTAATAAAGCCATTAAAAAATGAAATTAAAATTTAGTTTAGAAATACCTTCACTTACGGCTAAACTTTGTGAATTTATTTTTATTATTAAAAAAAATATAATACAAATAAATAAAAAATATTTTTGTATCATTTTATATTTAAAAAAATTTATTTAATAAAAAAGAATATTATTTTTACATTAATTTATTTTTTTTTTAAAATTAAAATGATATGCAGACTTTATTTTTTTTGGATCCTCAAGAAAAAAACGTATTTTTTTTAATATCCTCTGATATTTTCAAAAAAAATTTGAAAAAAAATTTGAAAAAATTAAAAAATATAGTTCAGAATGTAAATTTAAAACAATTTTTAACCAATTTTTTTTATTGTATTTCCAAAGTACTATTTGATAATAGAAAAAATCCAAAATAAGATATTATTTTTAAAAAAAAAATTTATAAAAAAAAAAAAAATTTATTACAAAAATGATAGCCACTCTATTAATCTCCAAAAGAAAAACTAAAAAAAAAAATTAAACCCATTTCACAAAAAAAGAAAAAAAAGATAGTATAAAAATTTGAGGCACTGTAATATTATTTTATTTAGTTTTAAATTTTTTAATTTTTGTTTATTAAACTGTAATATATTTTATATAAATTCTATATAAAACCAATATTTATAACAACATTTGGAAAAAATAGATACAAGTTTCTTTGTATCTTCGGTTAATTTTTTTTATATTTCTTTTTTTTTTTTTCTTTTTTTTTTTTTATATTTCTTGGTGAGTTTGTGGTCTGCTTAAACATTTGGGGCATTCAAAAGAACCTTTTTTTAGTTTGAATATTTTTTCATTGTCAGAATTACAAGTAGAGCATTTTAAATCAGACTAAATTCAAAAATTAAAAAAAAAAAATTAGCATTTGTGTTAAAAAATTATTTTTTATTTATAAATAAAATTAACTTACATTGTTTGGATATAAATTGGAATTGTTGTCATCATAAAAAGTTTTTTTTGAGCCATAGCAGTCATAAGAATAATATACCCATGTTAATTTCTTATTCAATTGATTTAAGGTTGATCTTTTTCTTTGTTGTTTTTTATTTTTTGGTACAGTAATAGTGGCAATTATATTTTTACATTGGATATTATTATTGGTGGAATTATTTGTATTGTTATTTATTTTATTTATTTGTGATTTTTTTATTAATTTATCATTTGTATTGTTGACTAAAACTTGACTATTTAAATCACTTCCAATGATTGATATTTTATACTCTTTAAAATCATTACAACTTTTATTGTTTATATCAAAATAGTTTGGAAAAAATCCAAATGATATAAAATCATTTTGTTGATTTGTTAATTTTTTATTTAATTTATTTGATTTTATTTTCATTTTTTTTTTTTATAGAGTTTAATTTTATTATTATAATAAATGGACTATTAAATGTTATCAAAAAATAAAAGCTATTAAAAGTATTATTATTTTTATTATTTTTATTATTTTTATTTTAATTATTATTATTATTATTATTATTATTTAAATAAGATTATAAATTTATTTATTTTTAATAAAAATATTTTTTTTTTTTTTTTTTTTAAATCAATTTTATTTTTTTTTTTTTTTTTTTTAATTTAATTAAATATTTAAATATTTAAATATTTGATTAAATAAATAAATAATTTATTAAAATAAAAAAAATAATAAAAAATTAAATAAAAATATTTAATTCCTTAATATGGTATCATATTATTTTTTTTTTTTTAAATATGAATTTGGGGGTATATACAATTAAAAGATATATTAATTATTTAAAAAAATAAAGAAATAATAAAATTTTAATTTATACAAAATAAACAAATAAAGTATACTTTATATATATAATTATATATATTTATATATATTTATGTATACAATTATATTTATTTACTTTCAAAAGTATATTGGTTTTATAACCAATACCATCCTTTTCAACATTATACAAAACAACATAAAAATTATTATTTAAAAGGATTTGTTTAATTTTAATTATATACATAAAAAGGATACAAGATATATTTTACCACACACACAAAAATAAAAACAAACAAAAAAAAAAACATACTGGCACACTCACTCAAATAAACACAAATATTAATTTTTAACACTCATATAAATATTTATTAT